AAGAGGGGATCTCGTTTCAATTCCTCAGTCACCCGACCACGGTTGAATTATTCTTATACCACCTTCACCCGGCCCGGCCGCGTCCCATAACTTCATATCGTCGACACTACAACCGACATCTCCTGCAGTGTATACACCAGACGAGACGACGACGACGACGAAATCAATTTTAGGCAAGTGGGCTGCCGTCTATTTAAACGGTTTTCTTCCCTCTATGTGCGACGTCTAAATCCATAACATAAATCGACGATCTGACGAAAAGTCGGAGGTAGTAATAATAGTATGTAGATTGGCTAGGATGAGATTCAGTAAGTCGCGTCAGTAGCAGAACGGTTGAGTGTCGTAAGGAAATTCCGATTAACGCATAGACATCAACATTTCTATGATTACGTTTAAAAAGAAAATAAAGTTTAGAGATTACGGCTCAACGATAATAAAATATAAGAATGAGGAGAAACATTCATAGCTTCAACACGCCACGCACTTCAAATAAAACAAATCAAACCTTAAATTTTATTCAGTCACACAAACAACTGAATTTTGACATTTGATATTTACACGTTACATTTAGATTGGAATGTAACTAAAACTTAACACATAATTTTTCCATATTTGTCCCTTCACTTGAGAACTTTACAGTATTTACACTCTAAAATTTGCTTAATTTTTCTTAGATGTTATACTTTAATAATAATTATAAAATGAATTAAAAAGTAGCTACTTGTTAATTTTGTTAACACTTTTTTACTTATACGATGACAAAATAAGTTATTCAAAACCAATAAGAAAAATATAAATTTTTTTTAGTAAACTTATATTGCCAGTAGATAGTAACATCACTCTTCAGAATTATTAAAATTACTGCCTAAAATTAAACATATAGATCCTTACAAAACAGATAATCGAAAGCAATTCGAAAGTCTAGACGATTTTCAAAGCGATACTCAACAAAATGATATATGATTTATTATTAAAAAATGTGCATAATAAACGTTTAATCATGAACACTTTACATTTTGTACATGGAATAATATTATAATCAATTTACTGAGTACACAAAATAACATTATATAGTACAAATCGGTACATCGTTATACAGTTAATAATATTATATGCATGCACTCAAACTTGTCTGGTTGTAAATAAAATCAAGTAAATAAAAAAAAAACAGTTAAATAATTTGAGGTAATACATATAACATATCATCTGAAATGTTTTTTTTTTTTATTATTCAGATTGGAAATTAATACAATTTTATGATTTTGTATTTTATTTTATAGGAGATAGAATAAAATAAATAATAAAAAGAAACGGCATATCGTTTACATGTATTTTGTTGTTGCCATTAACTTAATGCGAAATAATTAAATACTAGTTGGAATTTGGGCTTACATGTAGTATTTAATCCCAGAGTATAATTTATTTTATTTAAAAAAAAAAAAAAGTAAATTATTCACTACCTACTGCGTGTAAACGTAGTTGTAAATCAAAACATTAACTTTTGGAATTTAAGTTAATGCAAATTAACGAATGCTTGTAAATGTGGTGGATAAAATTGTAGTATTTAAGAAGGGGGTAAATTAATAGTATCATAGTTTTAAAATATTATGTTTTTCTTATAAAATGTGTTGTATTCAATTATATTTCTGCGTTTATCATTATATATACGATAAGCATCTTTCAGCGTTCAACTATTGTTAACATTAATGCAATTCTAAATTCAACTTTGTCGCCAGGTTGAGTGAAACGTTCATTAACAGTTCAATGAATCGCTAGAATATATTATAGACATTATTTGTGTTCTGTAAACATCAAATCAAATGCTACGGTAGCCCGTGACTGGTCTAATAAATTTTAATGAACCGTTAAAATGATAAAAAAAATCGTGTGCAACCCGGCATTATGGATTTTTTAATGTTTGATTGCACAGTGTGAATTTATTTATAGAGTTGGCCATTGACAGCTCATTGTGTGTGTTTTTTTTTATAAGTGTTCCATAATAAGTCACAGAAACTCGAATGCACGAGCAATAAGAAAAACGGAATAGGTCAGTGTGAATACTGATAATGTTGTGTCAAAAAGTGATCGATTAGTGTCGATTGAAAAAAGTGTTTTTTACCACATTAGAAATACAATTGAAGACACATACACCGTCCGTCGGCTCTTCAAAGACTCATCGATTTTGGAAGCACAGACCGTGAACGTCGCGGGATGCGCATGCATGTACACAGAAGACAGAAAAAATATCACTATATTATAAATAGGTATATATATTATGTAGATACTAGACTTTAAATGTACGCCCAACAGTTGACATGCAAAGATCCCATTGTTTAAAAACGTGTGGAACACAACGAAAATGTCTTTATTGTAATGATAATAATACCACTTAATCCGTAAACGAATAGCGATCATCTGTGACCGTTAAACTTCCAATCTAATGTCCGTCAAAAGACCACCGCCCTGTACTGGTCACTATATGTATATAATCTTTATCTGTTATGTGTTTAAGAGAGAGTTAATGTCTTCCTCCGACGCCCCCGCAGAATTGCCCGTTTGCACCGTATTAGAAGCGGTGGCCGCTGCAATGGGGTCGCCGGTCATAGCTCATAGACCTAAAACGACTAAGCCCTCCTTTGTAAGGGAGCGCGGGGCAAAAAAAAAAAAGATCCAATGATAAAATCAAATGGTCAAGTACCGTGTGTTTGTGTATGTGGTCGCAGTAACTTAATAGGTTAAACGCACAAGAGATTAGATACACGTGTAATTGACCCAAAACTTCACCCTAGAGGGTTTCCTTCTGACCGTTTGTTTCCGGTGGTCAGAGAACAAGGGTATTAGAGACTTTCTGGATATAATATATATATATATATATATTATATTGATTTTGATTCGTCGCCATACCTTTTATGTATTAGAATCCATCGAGTAAACGCAATTTATTTTGTTAAATTGAATCGACATTTGTAGATCAAGAAAACATGTTTCATGATTTTGAAACAGATAAATAATAAGCACATGCCGATTGACGTTTATTAATGTAATAATTTGAATTGTTAAAATCTTCAATAAAAAAAAAAGTAGTGCAAGCGGAGAACTTTGCAGTTTATATTGTAAAAAACAAACTTTGAACTAAGTAAATCGTCCAATTTTAAAATAATATTATAATAGTCCAAACAAATTAGAAACATCATTTTTTTTTAAATGTTTTTTATTTTTTGGTTAAATATATATTAAGTATAAAAATTTGACTTTATGTAATATATAAAGATATTGTTACAATCATTCAGAAAAATAATTATTATAATTTTCACATTATTTTTGAAAATGTCAACATATTTTTCAGGTTTTAGCAGGAAATCAAACATTTATACTGCAAATGTTTCAAAAATACTTCATGAGTATCATACGTATAAAAAGTTATACATGAAGGATTCCTAAAATTTCAAACAAATATAATTATACCTACTGATAATATAAAAAATGACCAATAGCGTTAACAAAATATTTATCCTAACACTATTCATTATATGAATTGAAAATAATACCATGTGTATTATTTTAACTAAATACTTAACGATAGGCACGAGGGAAAGGACTTTTTTCCTCTATTTCTCTGTTTATTTGGAAATGCCGAAAATATTCAATTTTTAAGAAATTTACTTGAAACAATAAACGTTTTGTGTAGTAGTATCCACAGTATGTTTGTTTTTTGCTCTTTGTAAATTATAAACTATATGTTTTGCCCCTTCTTTCATCAATTTCCTTCAAACACACTCTGGGTTCGTAAAGAACAACATTACCAAGAAAATTATTGGTCGGACAGAAAGTTGTTTTTGTTGGCTACGTCGAGTTGTTCCTTATATACACATTACACATATTATGTTATTGATTGAATAATTGTGATATTATGTTTTTAAAGAGCCCAAATAGCTTCGAACTTGACAAAATAATGGTGTTCCCTAAGAATTCATCGTTGAAAATATTTCAATCACTTAAGATATTATCGTTGCGTTGCATTTGTGGTCATATATTATAATAATGGATTTAACAATGAATAACTAATATTAGCGTGGACATCGGATTATCCTATTAATATATTATACGTGTAACACTAACACATTATTTTTATTTTTTTGTTTAGCAGTCTACTATATTATTACTATTTGCAATCGCAAATATTGACCAATTCTATGTTGTATCAATCCGCATAAATAAGGAGGAGACGTCTCATATTTTTTTTTATATTTGTATACAGCCAACTTGGCCGTTAAAGGAATTAGGCAGTAAAACGAAATTAATGGGTTTGACTTAGTAGCAGCATATTGTACATGGATAATACATTTTTTTTTTTTTGATCGGCCAGCCGATGTATATATGAATGTCCATAAAGTTTTTAATGATTAATTTTCCAGTCATTTAGACATTAATGTTGGAACTTGAGCGTAGATTTATTCGCACCAGGTTGTTTTTATAACCCAAATCGATTTTGTATGCTAATAGCGAATATATTCATCCATTATTTTGCGAATACATTTTTCATTGGCTTACAAAACAATGCGTTCCAGTTGATATTTATTACTCAACGGCGACCAAAAGGAATTCACCAAAAATTGTGTGTATTTTTTTTCTGCATTAAGACCGTGAAAGCGTGTCTCTCTCTCTTCTCTCAGTCTTGAAAAAATAACATAATCACTGTTCGGATGCATGTAATATATACATGGCAATAAAGTGCCAAAGGTTTGAAAGAAACGTACAATATAATAATCATAATCGTATTATGTTTATTTATGGTCATTATGCACCGCTGCCGCCGTTTACACCAACAACAGAGGTTGGTGACCGATCGGTACGTTACACTTCACATATTTCATCTTATTTGTCGATTTGAATATTATTATTATTATACTTATAATAATATACGCTCTCACGCTTATGTAATTTAACTAGGCATCATACACATTATATATGCTATTATAACGAATTAAATAAACACTTACGGTAGTTTTGTTTAAGTTCCTCAAGGACTCGCTGAGTAACGCCTTTTCGGCCATCACCTTGGTCAAGTTGCGCCTTGTATACGAATTCATAATGATTTTGATGCGATACACCCAAATAATCGACTGCAAAAACCACAGTGGCTAATGCGAATATCTGTAACAGACGTCAACGTTAGCTTCTGTATGTTGATACAGAAGCTAATTATTAAAATGTCGATGGACTACTAGTGCATAGTTGTCATATTAGTGCATATTTTTGGTAAATGAGTTGTGTGTATCAATAGACAACAAATAAAGTTATCAAGTATGGTACTATGAATTTTTAAAAAGTTATTGTAAAATAAAAAAACTATGCCCTTATGAGACATCTGCTTGCACTATGCACTAGGTACCATCTTTGTGATATATTTATTCATAATTTTCAAAAAAATTAGAACATAATTCGACAATGCTAGGAGTTTGTTTTAATAATACAAAATATTGGTTGGTAAATTTTCAATAATCTTTGTTTTGGGATCTAGTGCGGCCCGGAACGTCTACATTGACTTGCGAGCCCACTATTATAACCATTATGTTTACAGCCGAAAATTATGTAGTAGTCGTTACCCAAATTTAAAGGTTTTAACTGCAATAAAAACGTAGAAATTATAGCAGTTATCTAATAATATACTAAATATAATATCTAATATAATACTGAATAATAATAAAAAAATATTATTATGGTAATATATTTTCGTGTTAAATATAGGACCGCTTTCATTTCAAGTCATAGCTATTAGTATAAATTGTGATTATTGATTTTTAGTTTCTTGCACGATAGTCATAATAATTTATGTATTATATTTATTCGAGGAACTCAGTGATACTTTGTTCTACAGAATTGAAATCAATGTTAATCATACATGTTTTCACGCATATCTGTTGTTATTTTATAAGCCAAAATATTATTTAAATTGTATTTTCATATAACTACGCTGAAGTATAATAAGAACGTTTAAGTTGTATTCGTGTTTGCAATTCAAATGCATTGGCGTACATACTTACTTTGTTTGGAATATCGCCGTCGAGTAACAACAAAATCGGTAAAGCTGTAATATTTCATCCATCACTCTGATGGTAAACCTAGTATGCCGCATGTATTAGTATGCACCGATTTATATATTGCAGTCCAAGACAACTCGTGGTGGTTTAATATTGTAATTTAAAAATTAAAATCATCTCATTATATTCTTAGCGATGTCCCACAGCAGCGTTCAGTGTAATAAATATGTCAATTAAAAAAACGCAAGGAATAATAATCTGGACGCATTTACCTGTCACGTAACGAACGTCTGGACGATATATCTTTGGTGCTATGACTACTCGATATGATGGAAAAGAAAAGAAGAAAAAAAAAACAATGGACAATCAAGGAGAATACTAAACAACCCGGCAAGTACAGAACTATATCATAAATGTATACATAACATTAAAGATAGGTATAATAATATATACTGCTGATATTCGTGTTACTAAATACACGACGGACATGTTAAAAATACTACCAACAACGATCCGAGGAATACCCTCCACTATTGGTTGAGAAACAAACGTACGAAAAACGTTTTCATAAATCTTTCTGTTGTGAGGAGAATAAATTATTCGACTAAATCACACGGTTTAAATAAAACGAGTTTGTTTTAAATTACGCTCAACATACTAACGACTAACAAACATTTTTTGATTAATCAAATTTTTTAAAGTTTAAACATGTATATAATTAAATCAACACGTCTCCTCTGTAAGACACGTGTTTCTACAAAAAAACAAATATTATATGATTTATATTATGGAAATGACGATTGGTTTTGAACGCGCCCATAAACGAGTACTTATATTTGACACGATATACTCGCGCTGTACTATTGTTATTATACACCATAATTATTATTGTCCAGAATATCACAATGAAAAACACAATCTATAGCGTACAACCAATATGTAGTTAACTCTATAGAGAAGAACATTGGGTGAAAATTGCTACCGTCGCTACTGAGAAAAATCGATGGTGGGATCATTGTTTCACTTATTGTTTTTATTAATATGCTAGGGGGCTTGAACACAATGGGTACCGTAGAAGAGTGTTAAACATAGATTACGTTAGACGTCTTGATACTTAGGTATACACAGCTATAAAATAGACATATTGTGTTGTTAATTAATTTATTAACAACACATACGCTGTGATCATTTATGGGAACTCAACTACCAAAATGATAATTAATCCGAACATTCAATACAAGAGTAGTTGATCTAAACAATAGATATTATACAATATATTGATAATCAAAAAGGTAAAAGAATACTCTATTTACTTATTTTTAACTCAAAGCCAATCACCATCACATTAAAAATAATAGTATATATTACTAATAAAACATTGTTTTCATGGTACGAATCAGTTATCACATATAGTTATAACCATATTGGAGTTGTTATTACCATTACATACACACTTACCCGCAAATCATAGTAAAATATAGCAAACATATGTTTTAAATATAACTTTTGCAATTATTTAAACACTATAATATTACAATACAATAGGACAAATATAATTTACGATAAATATTACATTTTATTCCTTCTAATTTCAAGGTCGAAGATTAGGCAAAATCAAACAAAATTATGGAACTAATTCAAATTGCAATACAAAGAAGTATGAGTAAAAGTTTTTTTATCGTTATAAAAGACTTTTTAATAATATTTTTTTACTGCGAATAGAAACGATTCTTTATCCACAGAGGGCTTAACCCAAAAAAATATATACAATCATGGGAATATTTTCAAAAAACAATTCATTGTAAAACTAATAAATATAAGTTTCTCAGCTTCATATTATTATATAAAAAAATATATTATAATAACAAAATACGGATATCTCGAAATCCAAAGTGGATATAATCTTTATTAAAGAAATTGTATACATTATTATATATATTTTTTTTTTCCATAATATTTTGATTTATACATAGGCACGTTTTGTATTGTATCCGAGTAGGATATAGGTAAGGGTGAAAGGATATACTTATATAGTACACTCTTCGTTATTGGACACGAGTGTGTGTGTCTTTTTTTCGGATCGATAAATTAATTTCTTTAACCAAATGGCATTACATGGAATGAAAAAATGCAAATACAATAATAATAACAAACCGTCCACACAACAGTAATAATAAATCATTAGTGGGGGTATGAGAGATGTTTACACAAGGTATACAAAAAAAATAATATATAAAAAACTAACCAAACGATTGTTAAGAGAAAAATTACTTATGCCCTTTCTTCGGCCTTACCCTCTCCGCCGCCTCCCCCCCCCTTTCCACCCTCACTTGCCTAAAGTGTATGGATACTTATTAATTTGAATGTTGTATGTTTATTCAGTACCCGATGAGATTAAATCATTGTTGCCGGCTGTTTGTTCAGGTCAATACTTACACACACACACACATGTACAATTCTGTTCGTTTACGGTCTAGCTTTATTTGGTAAGTACACGGAATGACTTGCAACGGAAGCACTCCAAAAGTGGGTACAAATACTCCGAATCAAACAACTGAAATGATTGTATTTAAAAAGGAAAAACGATTATTTTGACTGTAATAACTTGGACCTGAAAAAAAATATATACTAACAACTTCCTTTGATTTGGTCATTGGTCATATTCGTTGTAAACGGAAATAATATTTTATTTAGATACTTTAAAAGTGTCCAGAGTAAAAAATAACCGAACAAAATTTAAATTAATGCAAGGCGGAAGTTATGTACCTACTACTGTTTGCCGTTTGGAGCTATTTTATAACTATACGTTTTTTTTGTACTTAAGTGATGCGTAGAATAAAGATATAAGTATGGAACATATTGTATTATGGTATATTAACAGTTTAATTTTATTAAAGCATACGATTTTAGTTAACTTAATATATATTAATAATTTTTTTATTAAAAATTAGAATACATTCCAATTATTTAGTTTATTATTAATATAACACATCAAAACTAAAGATGGAACTTTCAAAATTCAGTAAGTTCGGAATCAGGAAACAATTTTTGAAATCGTATTCATATTAAGTATACATTTTATAAGACAACTAAATAACAAGAAAAACGTTGTTATGTAAAAATCCGGATTTTGGTTGTACTATCGAAGTAGACGAATTAAATTGGTGACTTTTTATTAATTTTACATATATCGAGTTATACTTTTGTGTAGGAGCATGTAAAAAACTACTTAAAAACGATGACACAAAACTGAATTATGAAAGAACAAATTTAAATTTAAATAATCGTTAGGATATAAGATATAGGATAGCTATACTCGTACATAGCAAGGAAATCTATATTGATATTTAATATTCGTCTATAAATATTGAACTATAGTTGTTCAGCTATTTTTATACAAAAACATAAAATTATAGAAATATCAAAATTTTGACTTGTTTGACAAAAATTATTTGAAACCAAGTATTATAAGATTTTATACTTTTTTAAAAATAATTTTTACCAAAATGTAGTAAAGTATTGAATTGATATTTAATTTTGTATAGATAAATTTCTACTCTAAAAAAATACTGAATTTCTCAGTATAATACATCTTCTATGAGTCTAGCACATTTTTCACTTACAGATTAAAAATCATTTAGTGGTTCTACGATGGTAACTTTTTGACATAGAGTTGTTAATTATTAAGGAAAACTTTTAGAGAAACTAAAATTAGTGAGACGAGTGGACTTAGTGATTTGCATTTGAGAATGTAGTCAAGTATACATTGTAGTGCATGTCAGAATTTAAAAATAATCTTGGGGTAATTGGACAAGCGCGTTTTGCAATAAAATGGGTACGATATCTCACACAACCGTGTACGGCGTTAATGTAACAAAAAATGATGAATGTCGGGTCAAATTACATACCATATCGTATACTTGCATAAATCATGACTGTGCACGTTAAACGTAACAAAAATTATCCATTTTCTTTCCAAGTCGTAAATAATATGTGAACATTAATTTTCGCTCATATGTACAGTTAACGTTCTAGAATAATACATATTAAGTAAGGTTTGTTTTTAAGTTGGCATTAACAATAATCTTATCACTCAGCGGTGTGAGAATGGCAGATATGGATGTAAGAAAAATTCCTGCTCGAGAATGTATTTGAGCGTTTTTTTAATAAATATTACAGAAATGGCGGACACTCCCATGACCGCCAATAAGACTTTGAAAGACCCCCATTAAAGGAAATCCAATTTCAAAATAAGTCTATACAAAATACGGAATACCTGAATTAGGAGTAAGACTTTTAATGTCCAGATTTCAAAAATAATAAAACAATAGCTGCTACCAATTTTAAGTGAATTTTAAGTCTTGAAAAATCAAAATATCAATAATAACAAATCTAAATAAAAGTATAGTAAAATAATTCTGAACGTGAAAATTGATAAAATTGATTTTTTCATTAACTTTTAACTTTTTAGTAAATGTTTTAATTTAGATTCATAACTACAACTAGTAAATACCTATTAGAAAAATTATTAATTATTGTTAAAAAACATTTTATGATAAAATTATAGCCATTGAAATAAAATACTTATTGATGTGGTCACACTGATTGATGCATGACGGGCTATCAAATGGAACGATTCAAAACCGAAGTGCTTCCAATAGCTCTTTGAAAATAATATTATATTTTATACTATTCGACTTTAATGTAAAATTAGTTTAATTATTGTAATCTACAATTCGACCAAACGTTAAACTACGAGTTTTAGTAAGTGATTTTAGTCGAGTATTAATATGTTAGTTCATTAAAAATAAAACGTCTCACAATAACATTATAGTAAATAAGTATATTTGATGATATTATGTAAAACCGATAATTTTTCGAGAAGAAAGTTGTTTGTAAACGTTAACGAAAAGCAACCGACTCGTTTATATACTACTAACAACACTATATTATAATTTTCGACGAGTATTGCTATATTATAATGTTTAAAATGTATTACAATGTTATCATTGTGAGTACTTACATGCCGATAGCACAGTATTCTGTATTTGGTTGTCACTTCGGTGAAACTTCTTTAGCACACATAACTACAATTCTAATGGAATGTCGTCGAAATGATGCTTTAAACGTGTAACGCCGACTTGTTAAGTCATTTTCAATAAAAAAATATAATATTTTTCATACATTTATTGTGGTTTTTGTTTTGTTTGATAACAATCGACTGCCGTGATAACTGATAAGCCGTCGACCACTGTTTGCTCGGCGGCCGCTGGGCCTCAACAGTGTTGCCAGAGTACGGTAATTCTGGTACAATAATTTTTTTTAATCGAACGCCATAATAGTCGTACGGCGCGTGGTCGGTACAACCACCTTTTTTTTTTCATTAAATCAATTATTATTATTGCACGTGTAAATTTTTCAATGTAGTAATATAATATTATGTGTATTATTTATTTCAAAATCTTGTCACGTAACACACAATAGACATATTAATGAAACCCGCGTGAAAATAATTAACTCGGGTTTTGTCTAAAAATTCAATATTCGACACGCCTCCTCCCTCCAACTCCTCCTCCATCATTCCGCTTCACCGTCATCTAATTTAATAATCAATTAATAAACGCTTGTCTCCGTGTACGTAGGTACGTTGTAATTTTTTAATAGAAAGAAAAAATACCAAATGTAATCAAAAATCTGAAATATTATATTTTATATACATATATATTTATATATATATGAAAATAAACACAATTAGGTACAAAAGACACGCGTATACTGTTCTTTCATGACACTTTTTTGTTTTGTCTTAAAGTAAAAAAAAAATATACGTCATTGGGTAATTTTCTCTGTCTCGGTTGCTCCGTCTTCTGATTAATTTAATTGCGCTTTAAATATGATATTATGTCCGTCCACGCTGTAATTTTACTGTCAACGTCAAACTAAAATAAAAAAGGTTCTACCTACAAATTACAATTATTTACTAACTGTAACTGCGTGTAACAATAATTATTATCCAATTAGACCACTTTTGAGAGAAAATAGATAAATAATATAACCCACATTTTTTAACGTTCGTAACAATAAATAAATAATTTAACACAATGCAAATCTTATTTGGAATTTCTTTTCGCTAAAATTATTATTTTATAATTACTAAAGAGTAAAATGTAGATCGCTTTTCTCATATTATAGTTAATAGCTTAATTTTAAAGGGCTTAGCCTGTGTAATATGCATGCGTCCTCCGCGTTTCTACATTAAAAATAGCAAGGCAGCAACTCAGTCCTTTGCGCCCTCTTTCCCCTTTAATTCGAACATTAATTTGTTAAGGCACAAAATACAAAATTTAAGTATTTTGAAAAATGAAATACTTAATACTAGAAAGCGTGAGTGCTGCTCGTGCTGAGGTGTTCAAACCCTATAACGAGAATTATAACTTAAGTACCTAATTTGCTTATTTCAACAACATTAATTTAATTTGTATGCGACCTGTCTTATAAATGTACGTTAGAGATTATCTGTTAACTCCATCTGTCAGAAATCTACGTGATGTTATAATAATTGTTATTATTATTATTATATGCTACACGTCTATGTGTATTGGTTTGGAAAGAATACCTCCGGTTTGTATATATGTATATTGTGCGCAGGTGAGAATATAATAATTATCAAATGCGTTTTATTACTGTGCGCACACGTACTCGCGCTGTAAACATGTGTCGTACATTATAAGTGTAATTACGCCAAAGAACAAAATAATTACACACACCCGTTCACCGTTGTATACAATATAATATTATTCTCACGTTAATATATTATAATGTGTTTAAGTATAAATATATACATATATACCACTTCTCCGGTGTGATAATAAAACAAAACAAACACATAGACACTGTGTGAACGTGTTGTAATATAATAACATGCGCACGGATAAGTTGGATTCGGACGTTTTGATATCGTTTTTGAATATTGAGAAGTAAAAAAAAAATTTTATTACCACCGTAAGTCGGCGACAAAATAGGAAAATACGAACCTATAATACTATCTATGTAACCTACACGAATCATATTCGGTGAACGCGCTATGATAATATAAGAATATCGCCTAATAATATTATTATTACCCATTATGCGGCCACGATGTTCATTAGAAAGTATACACAGTGTCTGCGTGTAATTCATTTTGGGTGAATGTTTGGTTAATAGCGAGATTAAAATATTTATTGTGAAATCATACGCTTCTCATTGTGAAATTAACATAAATTACCGTGCCGGTTAGGTTTAAAAACGTGTACATACATACATTTATAAATATACATATAAATATAATTTTAATGCCTTCGGTTAATATAAAATTATATCCGATCCCCGTATGAATTCATTAGATAACTACAAAAATGGTATTTAAAAAAAAAAAAAGCTACTTAATAATAATAATACCTATGTAGGAAAACCATATGGGATACCGGATACATTATGAGCGGTACACGGACTTAAACGGTCACACCTATAATAAAAACTAATAATAATCACGTATTATAATAATAATAATAATAATAACATATTTTATTGCTTTTTTTGGAAAATTATACACAAGTCGTTTTAAAATAGTTTTTGATGTAAACCGTGTGTTAAATGTTTAAGACACGCACGTTATTGTCCAACCCATAAATTTGTGAAACGACAACAATGAACGGAGGAAAGTTTAAAAATATGTAAGTATAATATAATACAATAAATGATTATCATAGCGATTTTCGTAAAAAATTAATTTTGTAAAAAAAAAAAAAAAATTCTCGTACAAAAATGTTGTAGTTTTTTTGGTTAGGTTAAGTTGTAATAACACAAACATTTGTTTCGATTTAATATAGTGTGTTTTTTTTCGCTTAACAACGTTGCGAGCATTACAATGGCTCGCCTTGTTGTTTATTTATGGAATATCATTATATTACATTCTAATACTTGCATAATTCATGATAGGCGAACTATATATTTGTGTCAGTGAAGTTTAAGTATTACCAATGTGTTCCCCCTTTCCTCATCTCTACCGAGTAGCAACGACGCACAGTACTAATAATAATTGTACTACAATACATATCTTATATCATATCCAAGACTTGATTATAATTTGGCCGACATCCACTGTATTGTCATTTACCCAATAGTATATTATTCTATAATATCGTGTTCGAACGCCATAATATTTGACATATTGTTTGTCTATATACAATTATTTTATTGTAATTTTGACGTTTTGTTTAAATATGTAGTATACACGGTTCAACTCAAGCATATTACTTGTCATATCATTATTATATCCTTTTTGAAGTAAGTTAAGTTATAACGTTATTCAGCTATTTTGTTCGGCTGTGATTTATTGTATTTGAGTTTATAACAGCTTAAAACTTTATTGTCGATCTATCGTTCGCTTAAAAAAAAAACATGTACAACCGACGTCGAGTCTATAAAAATGCATTTAATGCTGGTTAACTATACCAACAGTCTCCATTGAGTTGTCTATAACATTATAATGTATTATCTAAAAAATTACAAACATATTACACAACACCTTTAACAACTTTTTAAATAAAATATAAAAAGTATTTTTATCACAAAGTAAGAATCATAAATGAACTATGGATAATTACAAAACATCATTGTCAAAACTTAGATCTGTAGTCTGGATACTTTGTATCGTTCAGTAATACCAAAAGAAAATACCATTCGAACTCAAGTTTATGATAATTTATCGGCCTTATTATGCTCGAGCTTCAATTTTGCGTAGGCGTTCGGTTTATCTAGTGAAAAAAATCCATAAAAACCATCGCGCCTCGCACGCACTCCTTTGCGTTTTGGAACGACGGCTTAAGTGAGTTTTCTAATTACTTATACTTATCGGAATAACAAATAACACAATGCTATACCTAAGGACGCGACCGCGGGCGTTTGCGCTCACAAAACTCATCTGTGTACAAATTTCCCAGGGCCTCCGCCCAATATCGGTACGCGCCTTACCTAGGTGCCTGTATAATATTATAATACAGTGTTGTCAGCAGCTCCGGGCTATACATGGAAACGTTTTTCACGGTTTTCAGGTCCTGTACGACTATATAGGTATATAGGTACACTAATGCATATCGCGCCGTACGGTGGTGGTCGTGGTTAACCGTCCGCGGCTGTGGAATGCCACCGTTATTATTATTTTTATTAATTATTGCCGGTCGGTTGTCGAGTAATAAACACTCTAGACACACACATACACATCTACACATATTATTCATTATTATTGTTGTTTATTATTATACGCGTAAGGTGCGCAGGTAGGGATATACGTACATAGAAGGCGATGGACCGCGAGGAGTAGGCGGTGGGCTCGCGAGCACGCGTTTTAATACGTGTGAAAGGAAAATTAATAATTAGAGTATGTGTCGTTAATGAGGTACGCACGAGAAAACCACCGTGAAGAACAAAGACCCTGCTTAAAAAAAAAAAATTATAAATATAATATCATATATAGGTATAAATAATATTACATACAATGGTCATCCGCGTCAGAGTATAGGTATATAATGTGATATTATTTTTGTTCCTTTCATTATTTTTTTGTATAGTTATTATATTATTGTGGTTTTTCATTGGTCTCGATCTCGTCCAGCGCTTGTCCTCTTATGTGTGTATACATATACCTATGTATGTATCTATATTATACACTAGCGACCATAAAATAATAATGATTAATAACGACCGCGAAGTACGGAGACGACGACGTCGACGTATCGTATATGTGTGTATAAAAAGAATGGTCGTGGAAAGAAAAAAAAAGAGTCGTTGGGAAAAAAATGTGTGTAATAATAATAATGAAAATCGATTGGTCCGCAGGCTGTGAAGATCAATTCCAGTAGCCGGACCACGGCCCGCGGCTCCATGTCTAATTGCGGAACAATGCTCGCGCCGTACCTATGCTTATAGCTACCGCCACCACCTCGTCTTAAGTCGTTCTCCGCGCGTGTATATCCACCTTGGCGTATATGCACTGTGCCTGGCTGCTGCCCCGGTGTAGGTATTTGTACATATACTAGTTAGATACTGTATACTTGCACCTACGACGCAATCATCATTAGAGGAGAACGCGACCGACGCGACGACGTCAAAATAGTAATAATAATAGGTAATATATGTTAATAGCAGTTAATACCGTTCGGTTTAGG